GAGAGAACACTCTTTAGCACTCAATTGCTTGAGCTCACAAGTTCGAGGCCAGCCTGAGTAAGAGCAAGACCCTGAGTCTTTACTAAAAATAGAAAAACTGAGGCAAGAGGGTCACTTGAGCCCAGTAGTTGGAGGTTGCTGTGAGCTATGATGTCACCATGGCACTTTACCCAGGGTGACAGCTTGATACGGAGGAAGGAAGGAAGGAAGGTAGGTTCGTGCTATTCCTAGTTCGCTGAGAGTTTTTATTGTGAACAGTATTAGATTTTATCAAATGATTTTCCTATATATTGAGGTAATCATACTTTATTCTCCTTTATTCTGTTAACATGCTAAATTGTCTTGATTGAGTATTAAAAACATTCATACATTCCTGGTATAAATGCCACTTGGTCATTCTCCCTTTTTGTATATCTGGATTTTCCTTTTGTTATTTAGCATTTTTATATCCATATGTCAGAGATGCTAGCCTTTCTTATATTGTTCTTGTCTAGGAAGGGTTTCTTCTTTTTTAATTCTCCGGGAAATTTATATAAAAGAGGTTTTATAGTTCATTATACGTTAGATAGAATTCACCAATGAAGCTATTCATAGTCTGGAGTTTTGTTTGTAAGAATATTTTCAATTATAGGCTTAATTTTAAATTAGATTTCTTTACTAGATATAGAGGCCCAGGTGCAGTGACTCATGCCTATAATCCCAGTACTTTGGGAGGCTGAGGCAAGAGGATCACTTGAGGCCGGGAGTTCAAGACCAACCTGGCCAACATAGCAAGACCTCATATCTACAAAATATTAAAAAATGTAGCCAAGTGTGGTGACACATGCACATAGTCCCAGCTACTCAGAAGGCTGAGGCTGGAAGATTACTTGAGCCCAGGAGTTTGAGGTTGTGGTGAGCTGTGATGTCATTGTATCCCAGCCTGGGTGACAGAAGGCACTGTCTGTAAAGAAAAAATAAAAAAAGAGAACTATTCTGATGTTTTAATTTCTTATTTCTATTTTGGCACATAATTTTTTAAGCAGTTTTTCATTTTTCTAAATTTTATATTTTTTGGCATAAATTATTTCTTAGTATTCTTTTTTAATCCTTTTCAGGCTTATAGAGTCCATAATGATATTTGTTATATTTTTAAAATTGGCATTTTGTATATATCTCTTATTTCTGATCATAGTTTTATCAATTTTATGAATCTTTTCTCCAAAAAAAAATCAATATTTTAGCTTTGTTAATTTTTCTCTATTGATTTTATTACTATTTCATTGATTTTTCTTATTTATTTTTTTCTACTTTCCTTGGAACTAATTTGCTATTTTTCTGCTTCATTGCCTTAGGGGCTTAGATAACTGATACTTCATTGACTTTTAAGTGATGACTTTATTTGGAACTCAGATATTCTAACCCCTGAGTATATCCTCTTAGCTATACCCTCTTCACTATTTTTTTATATATTTGATCACTTTTTTTAAATTTTGCATTTTATTTTATGGAGACAGAGTCTCACTTTGTATACTTCAGTAGAGTACTGTGGAATCATAGCTCACAGCAACGTCCACCAAACCCTAGGTCCCTGGGTTTAAGTGATTCTCTAGTCTCAGCCTCACAAGTAGCTGGGATTACAGGCACTTGCCAGAATGCCCAGCAATTTTTGGTAGAGACAGGGTCTCACTCTGACTCATGCTGGTCTCGAACCTCTGAGCACGGGTGATCCACCCACCTCGGTATATTTGATCACTTTATCCCTTTGCACAGCATTATGGGAGAATCTGTCAATTTACTAAACTACCTTTTTCTGTATTCCATTTGCTTTTTTTAGTTTTGTTGGAGGGTTTTATGTAGTCAGATTTTTTTTTTTTTTTTGGCCAGGGCTGGGTTTGAACCCGCCGCCTCCGGCATATGGGGTTGGTGCCCTACTCCTTTGAGCCACTGGTGCCGCCCTATGTAATCAGATTTTCATTTCCAAGTTCTCAAAGTGATTCTTTTTTATAAAGAAAACAGTTTTTATGCTATAAATGTAGTATTCTCTCTTGCCTCTGAACTTTCTGATTTCCTCTGAGAGTCTTGATTTACCTTTGCACATAAGTTGATTGTACTGACATTATGATACTATTGATGAAATCAAGTTGTTATTCTGAATTTCTTTTAGGAAAAATGCTATTGTAGAGCAACAGTGGAATTTCTTTTTTATTGAATAAATCAATGCTAACAGTTTTATTTAAAATTTGGTATTCTTTTTAAAACTTTTATTGATACATAATTTTTACACATTTTTATAGGGTACATGTGATTTTTGTTACATGCATAGAACGTGTAATGATCAAGTAGGAGTATTTAAGGTATCCATTATGTCAAGTATTTATTGTTTCTGTGTGTTGGGAATATTTTAAGTCCTTTCTTCTAGCTATTATATTTTGAAGTATACAATACATTGTTGTTAACAATAGTCCCTCTCCTATGCTGCTATTGAACATTGGCACTTAATCTCTTCTTCTTCTTTTTTTTTTTTTTTTT